CCACTGTGCCTGGCAGGGCAGGGTTTTGACTCTCCAGTTGGTTTTGTCTCATTCATTACCATTGAAATTGTTTTTCACAGAGTCTTCTTCATTTAGTAAGAAAAATGGCTAGCATGGAGTGTAGCCCGCAAGCCAGGCCCTGTCAGCTAATGGTGCACGTCCATGCCCCAGTTATCCCTGTGCCTGTCTTGCAGGGCAGATGTGTGGTAGCTGAGTCTTTGCAGAGGCAGATGTGGCCTCCCAGTGTGAACCTGTTCTTTCCTCCATGCTCAGTGTCTCAGGGTCTGATTGGAGCTGGAAGGCAGACCTGGGATTTCCAACCTTGTTCTGGTGGGTGCTGCTGTTGGCAATGCTGTTAAAATCTGCCTCAGAGCCTTTGCAGCAACAGCTTTGCATTGCTGTTTTGATGTTTAGCTTTTCCCCCTAGAACTGAAGGGGTTCTGATTCTCTGCTGCTTTTTGGTGGGTTCTGCTATGTTGTGGCCGAAGTTGAGATTTGGATTCCTGGAAGATAGAAGGCTGCTCTGCTCTTGGGTCTTAGGAGAATTTTGTTGTTCTGACTGGTCTAGTCCCCTTAAGGTCTTTAAAATACTCATGTGCTGTCACTGTAACCACCAGTAACCTTATATTGCAATTTACTGTATTAAAAAAATTTCCCCAGTACTTTATGTAATGTGAACATTTCAAGTGGAGTTGAAAAAACTATACCATGAACAACCATTTTGCCCATAGGTACATCGCCCAGTTGATACTTTGCCTTGTCTATATCTGGCAAATGAGATTTAAGGGTTAAGTTGGAATAGTTATAAGAAAACAGTAATCACATAGGGTATTTTGACTTAATTGTTACTGAAAAAATTCTGATAATCTGTTTAAGAAAAATATTTGGTACTGTAAATGCCAAATTTTATAGTCTTGTTCTTTTCTGAGTTATTTTTTTGGTACTGGGTATTGAACCCAGGGGTTCTTTATCACTGATCTATATCTCCACTACTTTAAATTGTTTTCTTATTTCTGATACAGTCTAGATAAGTTGCCCAGGTTGTTCTCAAACTTGTGACCTTTCTGCCTCAGCTTCCTGAGTTGCTGGGATTATGTGTGCACTGCACCTCCTAGTTCCCGCTTGCATTTTTGTTTTTGCTTTAAGATGTCCCCTACTTTGCTTTTTTTTTTTTTTTGCTTCCCAGCAAACCCTCAGGTGCTTTACCATTGAGCTACACCCACAGAGCTATTTTTAAATTCCATTTTGATTGGGGGTGGGGTACTGGGGGTTAAAATCCAGGGGTGCTTAACCACTGAGCAACATCCCCAGCCCTTTATATTTTATATTTGAGACCAGGATTTTCTGAGTTGCTTAGGATCTCCCTATGAGGCTGGCTTTGAGCTTTCAATCCTCCTGCCTCAGCTTCCTGAGCTGCTGGGATTACAGGTATATGCCACTGTGTGTTAGTTGGCAGTGATAACCATCTAGCTAGTGTTGAGGCAGGGCAGTGTTGTGCTGGTTCGATAGATGGGCACTGGGGCATTTGAAGGCAGATGGTAAAGTTACACTAGTAAGTGTAGTCCAGGGCCTTTCCCTTTTTCTGTCTGGGGAATGTGTGGGAGGTCTTTTGCTGTTTCCTGCTGTTCCCCTGAGAGCAGCAGAGCCATGAAGGGGTGTTTCTTAGGGCAGGGACAGTGTGTTCCTGTGAGCCCTTCAGCCTTGCCCAATGCCTGGCCTGGGAATGCAGTAAGGGGGGAGGTAGCTGAAGCTTCCCAAGCGCACCTGTGTCCAGGGAAACAGATACAGAAAGCCTTTTAGCTGCTGGTCAAGTGGCCACCAGCCTCTGCTCAGGGCTCAGTCACCTGTTTTTTTCATTCAGTCTATAATTAGATGATTTCACAGCTTTTTTTCTTTATCTAGAAGGGTCTTTGGGCCCAGGTCTTGAACCAGTTCCCAGACTAGGCCCAGACTGACAAGCTAGTGTCTGATGAACAGAAGTTCTCCCTGTGGGTCAGTAGGTACAGAGGTGATCTTCCTGTCCCCCTCACAGGTCTTACCCTCATGAGCCACCCAACTTTGGCAGTCTTGTCAGTGACCACACATTTTTAATTGCAGGAGTTGTTCTAACAATCTGTTAAAACATGGTGGATTACTATGAAGTTCTAGGCGTGCAGAGACATGCCTCACCCGAGGATATCAAAAAGGCGTAAGTAGATTTATTTCTGAAATGATATATAAGATAATGTGTAAGCATACATTGGTAAGTGGATAGTATAACTGTTACTTATTAAAATGGCTTTTTTTGTTTTTCTTTTGTGATGTTGGGATTGTAACTCAGAACCTCACATGCTAGGCATGTGCTCTGCCACTGCACTATAATCCTAATTCTAAAATGGCTTTTAATGTAATATATCATCAATGAATGCCACAGTTTATTTAATTAATTTTTTTTATATTGGATTAAGCCCAGGTGTGATGTTAAAACCCCCCAACTCCTCCCCACCTTTTTTAAAAAAATATTTTTCAGACGGGGTCTTGTTAAGTTGCTTAGAGCATCATTAAGTTGCTGAGGCTGGCCTTGAACTTGGAGTCTTCCTGCCTCAGTCTTCTGAGTTTCTGGGATTACAAGAATATACCACTGTACCTGGCTAGTTCATGCAATTTTAATACATAAACAATACAGATGAGCATTTGAATTAGATGGCCTTACAGTTTACTTATCAGTAAGGTTGTCTAGTTATTGTTCCTTTGCTTTGGGACTGAATTCCTTATATGCCTGAAGTAGGCTAAAATTGAGAGGCCCCAGGACAAATGGTGCATGCCTGTAATCCCAGTGATTTAAGAGATTGACTTTGAGGCCATCCTCTGCAATTTGGTGAGACCCTGCCTCAAACAGTAGAAATGACTGGCGACAGAGCTCAGGTTGGGGGACTCTCGGGTTAAGTCTCTAATACTACACCTTGCTCCTTGATTTTTCTTTTTTTTTTTTCTTTCCTTTTTTGGACTGAGAATGTGAAAATCTCTCAAACCCTTTGCATTGGACTCAGCGGTGCTTTTGACAGTCACTCTTACGCACCCCTTTCAGGCAGGGTAGGGGCCAGACCTGAAGCCTAACCCATGCCGCTGTTATATTCCTGCTGACCCTCATGAGTTCTGAGAACTCCTTCACTGCCCACTGTGCCTGTGTCTGTGCAAACAGGGCGAGTCCCAGGTTGCATATGGCTCCAAAGGACTCTGGATCCATTCAGTTCATTGAGGTGTTAACTGAGAACAAGACTTTCAAACAACTTTAAAAAAACTCTTCAATATATGATGAAGTCTAAACTTCTAAATGGGAAAAGGGTCCCCCCCCGCCTTTCATTTGGAGCAGAAATAGTCCTTTCAAAACATTGAGCTTGGCACATACCTGTAATCCCAGCGGCTCGGGAAGGCTGAGGCAGGAGGATCGCGAGTTCAAAGCCAGCCTCAACAAAAACGAGGCGCTAAGTAGCTCTGTGAAACTCTGTCTTTAAATAAATAAAATATAAAATAGGGCTGGGGATGTAGCTCAGTGGCCAAGTGCCCCTGAGTTCAAGCCCTGATATACAGCACCTCTCTCCCCCATCAAAAGAAAAAAAAAAGTTGAATTAGGGATGGGAATGTAACCTAGTTGTAGAGAAGATGCTTGGCATGCCTAAGTCCTTTGGTTCCATCCACAGAAGTGCTTCAAACCAGTCAACCAGTTAGGTTAAGATAGCTGTCAGTGTCTCCTGTTTCAGACCCAGCCAAGAGGCTAGCTGGTCGGCACAGCCCACTGAGGAGAGGCCAGGCTGGCCTGGGTACTGTCACTTTGGAGTGTGAGTATCTTGCACATCCTGGATGGGAGGCTGTGGGGTTTTACGCTAGGTCTACACTGTTCTTATATTTGTTTTAGTTAATAGCCACTTTTACAGAGAGACAGAACAGTGGAACAGAGAGATAGTTGAATTCCTTCTTCCCTCCCCCTCCCCCGGGGATTGATCTCAGGGGGACTGAACTCAAGGTGACTGAACCATAGAGTCACATCCCCACCCTTGTTTTGTATTTTACTTAGAGTCAGGGTCTCACTGAATTCCTCAGTGTCTTGCTGAGGAAGTTGGCTTTCTTGTGAATTCCTACCAGAGAGATAGAATAAATCTTAATTTTAAAGTTTCCCACTTACAAAGTAAGAATTTGTTTTAAAACTGCCTTAGCTGTCACTTTTTTTTTTTTCTGGACTTTTGTTGGGATGGGGTAGAATACTGGGATTGAATGCCAAAGTTCTCTACCACTGAGCTACATCCCCAGCTCTTTTATATTTTTATTTAATTAAAAAATTTTACATATTTATTTTTCTTGTTTATGCCTTTGGGGCTTAAACTTTGTCCATAGACTCAATTTTCCTTGACCTCACAAGTGGCGCCTGGGTCTATAACAAGCTAGCCCCAGGGCCTTGTTCCCACTCCTTCCAGGCCTCCAGGGTTCTTTGTAACTCCCAGCCTTGCTTTGTGCATGCTGGGCAGGGACTATCCTCTGAACTAAGCTTGTCCTTTCTTGCAGCCATGCTTTCTGGTTTTGGTTCTCTGCCATACTGTTTGGCCTTGGCTCCTCCTGTGACCCGCCTTTCAGGCTTGATCTTCATTCCCCAGCCATGACTCCTGATGTGGCCATGTGGAAGCAAGGAATCCTTTCTGCCAGCAGAATGGTGCTTGGTTCTTGTCCCACCCCAAGGACTTATCCTGCCCCAGCTACCCTATGCAAGAGGACTAATCCCTAGTTAGCTACCATCACCCTCTAGCAGGTCCCCTTCTCCGTGTGATCCCGTTCCAAAACCCAGTGACATCCCTGCTAAAGGAAAGTGGGATGTTCTCCTGGGCATCCTAACAGGGAGTTAATTGTTTTTATTTTTGAGACAGAGTTTCTCTAAGTTGCTGAGTCTGGCCTTGAAATTATAATTCTCCTGCCTTTGTCTCCCAAGTTGCTGGGATTATAGGTGTGTGCCACCATGCCCAAGTTGGCTTTCTTTTGGAAGTATTGCGGACTTATGGACTGTTGTTGATTTGAACCATAATACTTAAGAAGTAAAGTGAATTCTAAAGGATATAGAAATATAATATAGCCCTAGGGCTGAGATAGAGCTTCCAGATAAGTAGAATCACCCTCTACTTCCCAAGGTTAAGGTCCAGACCTTCTTGGAGATGGCATGTGGTTTAAAAGTCACTGGTGATATATGCTGCTGGAAATCTGTTCTTTAGTATTTTCTAGAAATCTGAGAAAGTTTTTCAGGTATTTTTCTTTTTGTTTTCCTTTTTCTTTTTTTTTTGGTATGGTGTTGGGGATCAAACCCAGGACCTCTCATATGCTAGGCAAGCTCTCTACCACTGAGCAAAATCCCACCCCTGTTTTCAGGTTTCTCATCAGATAGTTTTGCGATCTTGTTGGAAGCACTCTGCTACAAAACTGTCTTGAGTGTGGGAATATCATGGGAATCCCCTAGCCATTGTGCCCTGAGAACACTGGAAAAACTTGAGAGCTACAGGAATCTGTCTAGTGCTGGAAAAGTTGTTCATTACCCTGGATCCAGAAGAGCTGTGCTATAAAACCATTGGTGAAGCCAGTATGTGGCACATGCCTGTAATACCAGCTACTCAGAAGGAGACAGGAGGATTACAAGTTCAAGGCTATTCTGGACAACCTTAGCAAGAGCCTGTCTCAAGAAAATAAGAAGAGCTGGGGATGTAACTCAGTTTAAAGTAGCCCTGTTTCAAGTCCCAGTACCAATAAAACAAGACAAAAAAAACCAAAATACATTGGTGAGGATAGAGGAGAACCCTGGAGAAAGATTTTGACCAATGTACTGCAAAAACTAGGTCCCAGAGAAGCTAGAGGTCTCTTGCTGGAGAAACTGTACTGTGCAGAAGGTTATACATTTGGACCAGAAGCAAAACACTGTTTTCTTCCTGGATTGTCTCACCATGTCCTCTTCAAAGATGCATATTAGCTGTTTTATAATTCTCTTGGAATGTAAATTTTTCTTTTGTAGGTATCTGTCCCCTGGAACTTGCTGAGGTTTAACCCTAGTTATGGGTCTAGTGGCAATAGGAATGTTAGTGTCAGATCTTAAGGAGAATGGGCATCTATTGTCAAGACACTGGCTCAGGTGATGCTATCAGACTGAGGAGGGTTAGTCTCTACAGATACTAGAGTAGGCTTTTTCTGCCGGAAGGAGAGACTCAGTGACTTAGGAGTTTGAAATTATCAGTTTCTTTTGAGTCCAACCATATGTCTCCATTTCAAGTTTCAGAATCTTGTTCTTTACCAATCATTTTCCTATCCTGGACATGAGGGATTTGGTGAGACAGAATTCAGCTGTTGTTTGTATACAGTAAGCCACACAACTAAGTTTTGTAGATGAGTTTCAGTGGTATCAGCCCTGTAGCTACAAGAAAACTGCTTTTTAGAGCTATCATGGAAGCTTCTCAGACTGTGAGTTGAGCTGTGATTTAATGAACCTGACCTTGTCATTTTTTTTTTTTTGTAAGCATTCAAATGATCTTAAAAGAATCTAGCCACATCACAGTCCTTTATATCAACATTACTGCCACAGTGGTGAACTGTCCAGTCAATTGGACTCCCAAGGGCACATGCTTCACGTGGTACTTCGTCATATTCAACCTTGGTTAATTGTGATGTGGTCTGAAAAACATATTGCTCTTGGTTATCATATTCTTTCATGTAGCTTTTCATATTATAAAAACCCAGAGCATGAATTGCCCAAAGTGGCAATTCAATAAAACTTTTCCCATTCAGTTACTCCCATATTCTCCTTTAATGGTTATATTTCATCCTGTTTCTTGTTAGTACTGTATTTTTATGATTTATGTGACCCATTTCTAAGCAGGGTGTTAACTTTTTTTCTCTTTTCCTTCCTTTTTTTTTTATTTTTCCAAAAATGGGGTCTCGCCTAGTTGCTCAAGCTGGCCCAGAACTCCTGGGTCAAGTGATCCTTCTGCATGATCCTTCTGCCAGAGCTTAGTCAGTAGTTAGGATTACAGGCATATCCCACCATACCTGGCAGTATTTAAGGTTTTCATATTACTCTTCTTGCTCTTACTGCTGAACTAAGCCTAGCCTTTAATATTTTTCTTTTTCCATTCTCTATTTTGTTAATCCAAGATGTCAATTCTTATTTACCCCTGCTATATTTTTATTGATGAATTGTTCTGGACTCTGTGTGGCACTTGTCTTGCAGGTTTTGAGGCCTCATTTTCTTTCTTTTTTTTTTTTGGTAGTGCTGGGGATTGAACCCAGGGCTTTGTGCATGTGAGGCAAGGACTCTACCAACTGAGCTATATCCCCAGCCCCAGGCCTCATTTTAAAAGACAGTGTTTAGTAACATAGTACTCAAGAAAGTGAAAACCTCTTAGTTGGTATGTGTATTTAATTTAATTAGCAGAATTTCTTTCTTTATAAAGCAAATAGTCTTACATGTAAGACTCAGAATTCATGTACAGCAAGCCTTCCTTTTCTAAATAGGGGTGCCTTATTAAAACCCAAAGTCATTCAGGAAGCATAAAGGCGTAGCAGTTGCGTAATGAGTTTATATCAAGGGCTTTAAAGATTCAGAAGGAAGAGACTGTGTGTATTGCTATATATAAGTGCTAAAAGAGGAATCTCTCAGTGCCTCCAGTTCATGTTAAGGAAATTTAGTTACTCATATTATTTCTACTTTCAGCCTTGAATCATATTAAAATAAGTGCCTAGTATAGGAATTCTTTTCAGGTGTATTTATTAGTTTACTGAAATATGTTAGTATTTTAATCCTTTCTAAAAACCTTAAGGCATTTTAGTGTCCCAAGTCTGCATTAATTTAATTTTTAAAAATAAGCAAACTGTGCTTAAAGCTAGCAAAATAATAATTTTAAAGGATGATGGATGATTCTGTTTCCCTGTGCTCTTTTAATATTTCCTGGCACTCTTTGGTAATATACTATTTACTATCATTATATACTAGTATATAATAATATTCTGTGCAAGGTCATTGATGTAGTCTTACATTTAAATGTCTTTGAAATGTAGGAAGTCCTGGATTAGTAGTAGGATATTCTGTACATACAAGCAAATAGAGAAATTTGGGAGGTAGCAAGAGTGTTGAAGTTAAAATCATAGACTTTGAAACTAGACTTCTTAACTTTGAGTCCTATCTATGCTGTATCATATTGAGCAAGTTACTTACCTCCTCTGCTTCAGTTTTTTAATCTATATATTTAGGATATAGTATCTATTTCACTTTGTGGGGATTGAGTTAATAATACTTGTAAAGCTCTTAAAACTACATGGCACACTGTGACGTCTCAGTAAATTTAATTAGCGAATTTCTTTCTTTACAAAGCAAATAGTCTTACCCCTTAATAAACATTAGTTATGATGGTCTCCCTTTTCATTATAATGTTCCTCTTCCCCTAAAATGTAACGGCCAGGAAGAGGCAGAAAAATAGAAGGAAGCAAGTATATTCATATACTTGTACGTCCTTTCTTTCTGTCTTCTTAGTAGAAAAGTTTGGTTTAAATTTTTTTTTTTAGTTCTTTAGATCTAAATATCTTAGGTAGTATTATGTGGAAAGGAACGTGGTGTATAGTCATATCTAAACCCATCACTTCTCTTCATCTTTGCATGCAACCTAGCACTTCTTTGGAGGACAGTGATAAAAACAGTCATCTCTGGTGTACCTTGTGAGATAGATAAAGCTCTGAATCTGGAGGATTTTCCTGTATAGTTTATATCTACAGTGTAAATATGAATACCAGAATTTTATTCTTTAGATTGTGGTTGCCATAAACTTACTTGAATCATCTCTCTCTCTCTCTCTCTCTCTCCTTTTAATTCAAACTAATTAAGAAGCATGTAATCATTATTGCTCGATAATGCATACAGGGCTATTTGGAAGTACATGCACCAGAATTGAGGTCTGGTTTGATAGCGTGTTATGGGATTCTACTGTCCCATAGCAAGGAAAGGACACAGTGCCTTTGCCTTGTGCATTCGGAACCCCACTGCAGTTTTGTTGTTTCAACTTACTGCTGGCCAAAGCTTTCTTGAAACATTCTTCATCTAGAAAAAGTTGCATTACACTTTACTTTGGTAAAAATATATACCCCAAGAATGGGTTGCTAAGAAAAAAACAGTGGTAAGTTTTGGTCTGACTTCTGTTGCATCTGTTTTACATATAGTAATGTCACTTTCTGTGGAATGACATATTTATTAGAATATTCAGGTGCTGAAGCATTGGCTTTTCATGTAGGAATATACAGTGGTATGCCTCGTTCATTTGTTCTATGAAAGTTGGGTATGTAGATAGCTAAATGTTACTTTAAAAACAATTATTTATAAAACTACATTAATGGAGAAGTGGGAACTTAGAAACTTACTAAGTTATTTTTGAAAGAGCTCTGTTTTTGAAATATGTCTGTGATCTCTTTGTATCTCAATTTCCCATTGAGAAACAGGAGGCAATAGTACCTTCCTTTAGAATTTTAACGGGGAATAAATGGCTTAGTGGTGTTAAGAACTGTGGTACACACTACGTACTTTCAACTGTTAGCATTTTTATTGTCCTTATCATTGTCCTTTTAAGATGATCAACATTATTTCTTTTAACTTTTTTTTTCCCTTCTATTCAGATGACTTGTGTAGAAAAAGCAGGAACAGATGAGAAAATGCTTATGAAGGTCTTTCGCTGTTTGGGAAGTTGGTTTAACTTGGGAGTTTTGGACAGTAACTTCATGGCTAACAATAAGTTACTAGCCCTTCTTTTTGAGGTTTTGGTAAGTAAGAGCTTTGCTTATCATAGTATTCCTAACACATTTACTTTTTTAAAAAAAATATTTATTTTTTAGTTTTAGGTGGACACAATATTTTTATGTGATGCTGAGGATCGAACCCAGTGCCTCACGCATGCCAGGCGAGCGTGCTACCCTTGAGCCACATCCCCAGCCCCTACCACATTTACTTTTAATAATCTAGGACATAATGTGTTTTTAAATTTCTGCACAGTGACTGGAATGTATATTTTAGGAAAGTGGCAGTGTCCTTTCCTTGCTATCAAGTACCAAATTGATGGTATCATTTTTAACTCAGAATTTAGGGTAGAATAAAGTAAAATAGCATATTTTTAATAATGGTCACAGTGTCTTTGACATTACCATGACATAATTACTTGTATATCAAATATTTTGGAAAAAAAAAAAAAAAAAAAACGAGAGGACCTAAAAAATCATCCTTAGTTTTGCATCCAGAGATGATTGTAGATCAGAGTATTATCTTGAGATAGTTTATTTTTAAAAGTTCCTAGGGTGGAAGAAAGGGGCATGGGAATGGAAAAGACAGTAGACTGAATTAGACATAACTTTCCTATGTTCACATATGAAAACACGACCAGTGTAAATCTACACTATGTACAACCACAAAAAATAGGAAGTTATACTCCATGCATATATGATATGTCAAAATACAGTCTACTGTCATGTATAACGAAAAAGAACAAATTTTTTAAAAAAACAAGTTTCTAAATATAAACCAGGCATGGTGGCCCACATCTTAATCCTGGCTACTCAGGAAACTAAGGCAGGAGGGTCACAATTTCAAGGCAAACTTGAGCAACTGAATGAAGCCTTGTCTCAAAATAAAATAAAAGAAAAAACAAAAACTAAGCAAAAAACCCACATAAGTTTGATTACCTATGAATGGAGGAAAGTCTCGAGTATATACACTTCAGACTTAATAGTGGTGACTTCTGGGAATTGGGATCTGGGTAAGAAAGAAGTTCAGTAGTATGTAAGGATTATATTATCTACTCTACTGATCTCATGTCAGGACTCCACTGCCACTTAAATTGAGAGTATTTCCATAGTTGAGGGTCAAATATATTCTCATTTTTTACATTCATTGAATGGTTGAAAATCATGCCACATTTTAGTTTGCTTTATATTTATAAGTTACACAGCTTTCTTGTGTAACTTCCCTCTGTAGTTCTTTTTTTTTAAGTTATTTAAAGATAAAAAGAATAAATTTGAGTATATATCTCAAAAGAATAAATTTGAGTATGTATCTAACTTTTAAAACATGGTTATATAATATCTTTGAACCACCATTTTTTTTTTTTTGAGAGAGAGAATTTTTTTTTTTTTTTTAATATTTATTTTTTAGTTTTTGGCGAACACAACATCTTTGTTTGTATGTGGTGCTGAGGATTGAACCCGGGCCGCACGCATACCAGGCGAGCGCACTACCGCTTGAGCCACATCCCCAGCCCCCACCATTCGGTTTCAAGAATAGGGTAATGAATAGTTTGCATCTTGTTGCTCTCCTAACACTGCTTATGTAGCATTTTTCCCTCCTGGTGATTCTAAGTTTCCTGGTTTTTGTTATTCAAGAAAAACTAATATGCCTTCATTACATTTTTCCAGCCTCTCATCTGTACTCTCTTTAAGTAGGAGCCTTGCATCGTCCCTTCTTGTACCTTCTGAACTATACTAATTTGTATCAGTTGTTCTTTAGATCAGCCTCCCAATGGTCATCCTTGGGTTTCCCTTTTCTATGCTTTCTAGGTTGAATAAAGTAGTTTTTGAACCTACTCAATGAATTCCTCAGAAAAGATGCACAGAAAGTGAAATCAGAATTTCTGCATGCCCAAGAAATATTTTTATTTTGTTTTCATACTTTGGCTAAGTATAGAATTCTAGATTCAATATATTTTCCTTCAGAATTTTAGAAGCCTTGCTCTCGTTTTCTAACATGCATCATTGTTAATGAGAAGTTAGAGGACTCTATGATTTTTGATCATAAGTTACCTCCTCCTTTCATCCCAATAAGTTTGAAGAACTGTTATTTAACTTTGGTATTCTGATTTCACAGTGATATGTTTGGAAGTTGTTGAGCCCTTTCATTTTACTTAGTACTTGAATATCAGAAAGAGTATGGAAAAGATTTCCAGAGATAATAATAGGGCTAATAATAGACAACATGATGATAATAATAATAGACAACATGATGTTGTCTTATACAAGGCAGTGACTACTAGGCTATTAGATATTTAAAGTACATAACATGTTCAGAAGAAGCTATAATTGTTTTCCTATTACTTGTATTAAAATGATCATACTTCTTACTTTGCTGTTCCTGCTATCTTCCAGCAACAGGATAAGACCTCATCTAACCTACATGAAGCTGCTTCAGACTGTGTGTGCTCAGCTCTTTATGCCATTGAGAATGTGGAAACTACCTTGCCATTAGCAATGTCAGGGAGTCCTGACATTGGAGACTGCCTATCATATGGCTGTGGCACGTGAAGATTTAGACAAGTGAGTAATTATTTAAGATTGGAGCTCTGAATTTTTTAAAAGTCTGATCTTTTATTTTTTACTTTTGTGGTGCTAGGGATTGAACCTAGAGCCTCACACAGGAGAAGTACTCTATATTTAAGCTACATCCCTAGCACATTATGTTACTTTTTATTATTCATCTATTGTTTATGATTCTTAGTGGCTCTGTGTAAATATTAAAGTAGTGCATCCTAAAGATACTTTGATTCTCATGCAAACTTAGAAGTGGCAAGTTGGATGCAGAAGAAGTTGTATAATTACCAATTATGCAAAGTTTTTGCACAAAAGGAAAGGCTATAAAAATTAGGGAAAAGACTTTAAAATATCAAGTGTAACTTTTAAAAATGTTTTAGTAATTGAGAATTTGACTTATTCCTTGCTTATCTGTGGAGAAGTGGACAGTCTAAGTAAAGGTATCTACAATAGAGATTGTGATACAGCATAGCAAAGAATCACTATATGTGTCTTAAGCTGAGGACTATGAGAGAGAGAGAGAGAGAGAGAGAGTGTGTGTGTGTGTGTGTGTGTGTGTAAACAATAACCAGATTTCTGACTTGCTACTCTCATTCTTTTTTCTTCTACAGAGTTCTGAATTACTGCCGTATTTTCACTGAACTATGTGAAACTTTTCTTGAAAAAATTGTTTGTACTCCAGGCCAAGGTCTTGGGGACCTGCGAACTCTGGAATTGCTTCTTATTTGTGCAGGGCATCCTCAGTATGAGGTAATGTCTTTAATATGCTAAGACCATCATCTCCAAGTTGTGTATTGCATGTTGTTTATATTCCAAGGCCTCATCCCTCACCTTGTTTTCTTGAGAAATTATATTCTTATTTTTAATTAATGTGATATGGGAGTTCCCTCTGTATTGAAATTTTTCAAAAATTGAGTTTCTACTTTATATCCTTTTCCATTTTTTTTAACCTGGTTTGCTGGATTGTCTGTTGTAGGTCCCTCAAAAAACCTATTAGAAAAGCTTATTGCTTTTTCACTGAGTCCCCTTTTCAGCTGTGTTGATTCTCTAGAGCTTTGCAGTTTAAAACTACATTGTTCATCAGCTTTCCATTAGTGTAACAAAATACTTGAATAATCAACTTTTTAAAAGAGGAAAGGTTTATTTTAGCTCACAGTTTCAGATGTTTTAGTCCATGTTTTGTTGGCCCTATTGCTTTGGGGCCTGTGGCCCGGCAGTAGTAAATCATGGCTGTAAGTGCATGGCCAACAAATCCCAGCTGTGTGCAAAAGAGGAAGAGGAGGGCTAGGGTCTCTACCTCTAGGGGCATGTCCTCAGTTACCCAACTTCTTTCATTGGACCCTTCCTCCTAAAGGTTCCACCACCTCCCAGTAATGTTATGGAATGGATGGAGACCAAACTTTCATCACATAAATCTTTGGGAGACCTTCAAGATCAAACTATAACATATACTGAATCCTAACTGAATCTCCACAAATCTTCACATGTCAGATTTTTCTCCACATGAGGGATGTGAATGAGAAAGGGATTGAAAAGGCTATCTTTAAGACATTTGCCTTGCCGTTTGGTGAGGATGGGGTGATAACTAGAATCAAATCCAGGAACATGATGCCACTGAGCTATAGCCCCAACCCTTTTTATTTTATTTTGAAACTGGGTCTTGCTGAGTTGTCCTGCCCTAGTCTCCTGAGTGGCTAGGATTATAGATGTGTACCACTGCACCTGGCAATACCCTGCTCTCTTAAATTTGGAGGTTAAAACATTTTTCTTCATTTACCTCCTCTTTATAGTATAAGAAATGTGAAAAAAGTGCTTCCAAGTTGGATATTGTTTTGAGTGTCTCTATCTTGGATTCTTGATGGGAAAAGAATGGTAGGGCTGCCTCTTAATTGTGATTACTTGTAGGCAAAGCACGTTTGTGAATCTCCATGCTTTTTCTTTTATTACATAAGAGAAGTTTATTTGTTTTGTATAATTTCATGAGGACAACTAGATTTGAATGAAACCCAAATTATCATTTTGGGGAGAAGTGTAGCACCTCACATATAATGACAGGAGGCTGACTCAGTTATGTTCAAGGAATTAACATGGTTTGGCGGTAAGAAATGTTCTAATCTCAAAAATATATTGAAGTGATTTTATAGTTTGGGAAAAATACTTTTAAAAGCACTTCATCTCAGTATCTATTTCTCTAAATTCAGAATCCAATATAACTTTAGAAGCAGTTATCCCAGGAGTAAATAGGAAAATGTAATCTAATCATTCTAAATGTAGGTGGACATATTTGAGGTCTAGAGAAAACGGGGACTCATTAACTGGTCCTCAGGTAAATCTTTCTTATGTGGCCTTAGAAATAATAAAACTGACTGAATCTATTTCTTTGCCATTCAAATAAGTAATCTTTTCTCTTGTAATCTGACAGGTAGTAGAAATTTCCTTTAACTTTTGGTACCGACTAGGGGAGCATTTGTACAAAACTAACGATGAAGTTATTCATGGCATCTTCAAAGCTTACATTCAGAGGCTGCTTCATGCCTTGGCTCGACACTGCCAGCTAGAACCGGACCATGTAAGTTTCCTTCTCTACTTCTTCATATCTTAATTTTCTCCTCTTTTCAGTGCTAATTTGGAAAGAAACTGAAAAGATAGAGAATAGAGCTGATAGAATCTTCTGATTTTTGTCACTTTAGGTTACAGTGACAAAGTCAGTAGCAATATTAATAAAGACAAATTAGGCTTATGTTCACAAATATTGCTCTTGCTGAGACAGTAATTCTTTTCCAAGGATTTATCTTTAAAAAATCCTTCAGAAGAAACACTTTTATGTACAAAATATTATCTGTAAAGGTAGAAAATGATAAATCATGAATAACAGTATAAGAAGAGTGACATAAATCATAGCAAATTGATGGAACATTGTAAAATAATGATTACCGAAAAACAGTATGGTATGCTAAGAAAAAAAAAATCAGAATGAGGAGCTTTATACTGTTTTTTAATAGTATAAAATGTGTGCTTAGATTAACAGAAAAGGGAAATATTTGTGAAGGTATTGGACATTTCATGACTTCTCCCCAGATACATACTTTTATTTATATTATTTATACTGACTTTATAATTTAAGAGAAAATATAGAAATAATATATTAGCATATAAGAAAACATACTAGAAATATTACCAAATAGTTCGTTGGAAAACTCTTGAGCCTTTTTTCTTAGTCTCTCCCAAATTTTGCCTCATTTATTTCATTTGTTTGGTTGATCATTTTAATCTAGGACCTGGAGTAAATTTAATTGATTACCATTAAATTAGACATGGTATTTTTTCTTTCTTTTTCTGGGGGGGGGGGGGCGGGGGGGGTTTGCTAGGGATTGAACCTAGGGCCTTGTACATGCTAGGCGAATGCTCTTGTCACTGACCTACATCCCCAATCTGAATAGTATCTCCATAGAACTTTACTGATGACCTTGTTTTATGATGTTCAGATTTTTTTTTTTAAACCAAGGAATCTTATCTTTACATTTTACTTGGGAGACTGATATGTAAATAAAAAGCAGGGCTTCTGTGGTTTAAATGGTCTTTCTGTTTGATCCTCTTCCCTTTGCTAGTTCAGTGGCACCATTTCCCTTGCAGATATTTTCTTCTAATTGTAACTATACAGTGTTTTATAATGTTATCCATTATTTCATCTGAGACAGCCATCATTTCTTCATCATTCCTCAACCTTAATTTCTTTATATTAATGCAAGGAGGTTGAATGAGACCAACAATTCTTATAGAACTAAGGAATTTTTTCAGGTTTTCATGGCCCAAGATTCTTATACCATGCCCTTAACCATCTCAAAATTATAAATTAATTGGTAACCCTTTATTTACTTATAGAAGTTTGTTTGGATAGGAAGCATTTAAAGTCTAAAATTCTATTTTCTTTGGGAAGTTATTATGATAATGGTTGATTTTGGGAGATTTTGAACACTGAAGCTGTAATGACTTGTTCAGTGCTTAAGCGCTGACGTTCCAGGAGTAGGCTTATAACTCTTTAAATTTATCACTTCTTCCTAGTCACTTCTGATCACCCCCACCCCTACTCACATTCTTTTTAAAGCAAAACAAAGTGTGTCTTGGGAATACAAAACACACATACACACATAAATGGAAGAATTTCTTCAAGTAAGGGTAGGGGATAAGTTATGTTGTCTTACCTTCCCTAACAATTTGGGAGACTCTCTGTAGTAAAATACCCTTGTGATTTAGGCAACTTTGGTTCACTGGCACTTGACTGCTTAATGTCTTTTTCTTCTCTATTGATTTTATAGACATCATTGAAAGCCTCAGTGAGTTTAAAATAAATGCTGCCTGATTTGAAATTTCAGGAGGGGGTTCCTGAGGAAACTGATGACTTTGGCGAGTTTCGGATGCGGGTATCAGACCTGGTGAAAGATTTGATTTTCTTGATTGGGTCTATGGAGTGTTTTGCTCAGGTAAGCCTGTTTGGAGATTCTTGAGTCAATTTTACTGATCACCTTAATTGTTTCCACTTCTGTGTCTTCTGTTAATGTTCCATCATATTTCTTCAAGCTTAATGGCTAAATGGAATAGTAGTTATACAGGTGCCTAGCACATTGCCTGGCATATTTAAGCTATGTTTATTTAGTATCTAACAAGGGAACTGCAGTCTGTGGATAATTCAGTTATGGATTACTCTGTTACTCTGGCTAATAAGAGCTATTCCACTTGTGCAGCTAGAATGGAAGATCACAGATAAGCATTAAAGCTTCCAGGATACGTATACGGAATTTGGACTATGTACCAACTCCTGGCAACTCTTTTAGTTATTTGGCATTTCCTTTGTCCACACTTAAGGTTAGGTTTCCTGTGCAGCTTCATCCCAGAGGATGACTATAGTAGAGTAGAAGATTCATAGTCCTGTGGTTTTCCTGACAGTGAGTAACATTTTATCTCATAAGGTTACAATGATCATCATTCCACATCACTTAACATTAGCATAATTTCAGGTGGTTTTCATATTTCTGGTTCATACTCTAATGATCTCTGAAGTTTTAGTTTGGATCCTTTGCTATATAGCAATACCAAACTAACCTAAAGGAATTTTGTAGGGAAGGTAACTCAGTCACTTTGTATGTATTTGACCATAATCTGATCTAGGAAGTGTTAATAAACTTATAACTATTTTCATTACAAACATGGTTTTTGATTCAACTATGAAGGGTTAGAGATTTCTTAGGAAGTTTAGTGAGATCCCTAGACTCTAGGCAGAAGACTTGGGTACAGATTTTAGCTCTTTCCTCACTGGCTGTGGTTAATTTATTTTAATTAATCATGTTGCCAGGATGTGCTCTGTGGAATAACAGTCTATGAGATGTTTTGTTATGTTTGAGGGAGGAGGAAAGGAGTTAAATTAAGTAAAATTGGGAAATGATCTAAAATAGTATATATATATATATATATATTTTGGGGGGGGGTACTGGGGGTTGAACATGGGGGTGGGGGTGCTTTATCACTGAGCCATATCCCTAGCCCTTTGTATTTTTTGAGATAAGCCTTTGCTATGTTGCTGAGGGCAGCCTTGAATCCCTGCCTTAGCCTGGGATTACAGGTGTATGCTAATATAGTATATTAAAGCCTCTCTAAGGTCAGACAAGAGAGTTGTTTAATTTTGTCTTTCCTGGTAGTATCTGTTATTTGACCATAGAAGTCTTACTTAGATTAATGTCTAGTCACATTCCATAGGTGACTATTACCTGGAAAATTCTGGACCAGAACATCTCTGATTCCTTCTTAAAAATATTCTTCTTAGATATGGTATTGCAATAGATCCTTCTAACTAGGTGCTTTTACAGGAGTTTAGCCTCTATTAATAGTGTTGGTGCAAATAGTTAAAATAGTAGAAAGGTACAGCCAATATACATGCAGAAGATTTATATTGTATCTCCATTTTGAGTGTGTATGTATTTATCAATTATCAAGACCAAAAAAAAGACACTAATATAATATGTTTTGTTTTTCCCATTATACTCATTTTCTGAAGTCTTGATAAATTCTTGTAGGGGGTATAAATGGGTGTATTTCAAATATTAAAATAACAGTTTTAATTAGTGAGAATGTGAAAAATAAAAATATTCATGCCTGGCTGTGAGAGATAATTAAATTTAGAAACAAGGAGCTGGATTTCTTTTAACTAACAATGTTTTTTGTTTTGGTATTCTGTTTTCCTCTTAATGGATCCACAATCCACCTCTTCTTCTCTAGTTATATTCTACTCTGAAAGAAGGCAACCCACCCTGGGAGGTGACAGAAGCGGTTCTCTTTATCATGGCTGCTATAGCAAAGAGTGTTGATCCGTGAGTGTCTAATAAGTCTTTTGCTGGGAATTGTGAATATCAAGAGGAAGGAAAATTACACATTTTTTCTCCTATTTGGTATATGTTTGGAAACTCTTAGAACTTTTTACCTTCTATAGTGTTTTCTAGTGTTCTGACTAGTCCAGGATGGCCTGCGTTTCTGTTGCCATGTTTTAACCACACTTTCTAGAGGTAAAATTATTTTACTTTTGATGCTAGGAATAGAATGCTGATTTATTTTTTCCAACCGTGGCACCTTTCCAAAAGTAGGTATAGATCAATAATTCATTAGACTATTAAATTGTT